GACTGCGGCACGCTTGCGGTGTGGTGAGAAGCCACACATCCGGTGTCACAAGTGATCCATTGTGATCTGTAGGATTGGGTTTGCTTTTTCCCCTCTGTACCATCATACACACACACACACAAACTTCTGATGGAAGAAAGGTATTTTTCAAAGACCAAAAAATGTATTGCCACATGCTCTTAACTTCTTGTAACTCATTCCCATCAGGATCCCATTCCTAGTACCTCACTCCCCCCATGTCGACACATCCATCAGCTGTATTTCTGCTACGACCTTATCCACACCAACCAGAAGTATCCGTGGGAACCATCACCCGCTCCCTTTCACAATGCGTTCAGCAGCTTTCTGTGACATCTCCTTGGTTTTCTTTCTCCTCACTGACCTCTTACCTATATGATGCCGAAATCAGTATTTGAACCCCGGGTCTTGCGCGTTATTCCTGGTCTGTCTCTCTGGGTAAGGGCTGTATCATCTAATTGCAGATGGCTCCCAATTCCTACCTCTTCCCAGACTCCCACACCATCCCACCTCACAGCTCCAGGGATGCTAAACAAGCATATCAAACATAACAGAAGCAAAACAAACTCAACTTCCCCTTTTCTAAGAAAGTGGCTTTAACAACTGAGTTTGTTAAATGATTGTTCTTGCCTCTTGCATTCTTCTTGCGCTCACATCACCCAAACGGCTGACCTTGAGGTAGTGTCTGTGTCACCTCTAACCTAGGCTACTTTCTTTTGCCTCAACTCAAAAACAGTACAAACCTAATTTAGAGAGGAAAACAATCTGAACGCTTCTTGCCGTTCCAGTCTCTGGAACTTGTTCCGTCCATAAACACACCACAGCACCGAGCTTACTCTTACACTTAAGCCATCAACACCCAGCCATTCCATTTGCCTAGTGGCCTACCAGGACATAGGTGCTCCTCCTTGTCACTCAAATCTCAGGCCAAATATCATAAAACATATAGCTCAAACCTGGAGCAACACCCAGTCATTTTACATCACTGTATTACTTTAAAAAATATTTTTATTGGAAAGGCAAATCAGATTTATGGAGAGAAGGAGAGACAGATCTTTCATCTGCTGATTCACTCTCCAAAAGGCTCACTCCACAATGGCCAGAGCTGAGCCGATCCCATGCCAGGAGCCAGGAGCTTCTTCTGGGTCCCCCACGTGGGTGCAGGTGCCAAGGCTTTGGGTCATTCTTTGCTGCTTTCCAAGGGCCACAAGCAGGGAGCTGGATGGGAAGAGGCGCAACTGGGACGTGAACTGGCGCTCATATGGAATCCCATAGAGTGCAGAGTGAGGCTTTAATCCCGGAGCCATTGCCCGAGGCCTCTGTATCACTTTTTAAGCATTCCAAGCAACATTTCACAAGCTACGCTCAGGCAGGCATTTGGCACAGCAATGAAGTCACTGCTTGGGACACCTAGATCCCACACTGAAGTACAGGATTTGAGAACCAGCTAATCTGCTTCCGATCCACTTTTCTGCTAAAACATAGCCTAGAAGGCATCAGACGATGGCTCAAGTACTTGGGTCCCTGCCACCCATGTGGGAGACTGAGAGAGCGGTCTAGACTCCTAGCTTCAGTCCAGCCAAGCCCTGCTTCTGTTGAGTGCTTGGGGGAGTGAACCAGCAGACAGATCTGCCTCTCCTACTCCTTCTTTATCATTCCTTCAAATAAAATATGTAAACATTTAAAAATAAATCTACACTCATTTTTAAGTCTATATAACAGACTCCATTATGTATTATACAGACAAAGCAATCACTGTTAGAATGTGAGCCCCTGAAGCTTGGCCTCATGTGTTCACATCTTCGCTGTTTCTCCAGTGCCTAGAACAGTGTCCAGCACCTAATAATTACCTAGGAGCTATTTAATGAATAAATATGAACTATGTACTCTAAAAACACTACCAGGAAAGCAACATTTGTATATTCAACTGGGCACAAGATGATCTAGGAGTCTGGCTCTTAGATTTGAGAACAATCACAACTTGAGGTATGCTTTGCTTTGTTCTTAATTTTAGAGGCAAACAGAGTGCACCGAGGAGCAAGAATGGGCTCCCGCCTGCTGGTTTATTCCCCAAGTACCCACGTGACTGGGGCTGGACGAGGCTGAAGCCAGTCGCCAAGAACCCAATCTGGATTCCATGTGGGTAGTCAGCACTTTTGCAATGTCCAAGAGCCCACAGGTCCTTGGAGCCTGGAGCCAGAGAAGGATGCGAGCTGAAATTTACCCCCAACCCCCTTGATAAGCCCAGGTTCTCTACTCCAAGGCATACATGTATTTTGACAGAGCTTGCACTGCTGGTTCACAATCCAATACCCACCACAATGGCTGGCGCTGACCAAGGCCAAGCTCAAAGCCAGGAACTCAATTCAGTTCTCCACATGGATGGCAGAAACCCAACTACTCCAGTCATTATCAACACCTCCCAAGAACTGCATTTGCAGGAAGCTGGAAGTTTTGGTTGGTATGGGTAAGATCAGAACAGAAAAATAATTGTTGAATGTGTCAACATGGATTGAGATACAAGGAATGGGCTTGTGAAAGAACTGAAGCTGGGGTTCAAACTCAGGCACTCTTGATATGGGCCATAGGCACTTAAACTGCTAGGGTAAATGCCCACCCATGCGATGCTTTGAAAAAAAAATGTGTTTGGGCCCAGTGCAGTAGCCAAGCACCTAAAGCCTTCACTTTGAATGCACCAGGATCCCATATGGGTGCTGGTTCTAATCCTGGCAGCCCCACTTTCTACTCAGCTCCCTGCTTGTGCCTTGGAAAGCAGTCAAGGACGGCCCAAAGCCTTGGTATCCTGCACCTGCATGGGAGACCCAGAAGAAGCTCCTGGCTCCTGGCTTTGGACTGTCTCAGCTCTAGCCTGGCCACTTGGGGAGTGAATCAACGGACAAAAGATCTTCCTCTCTGTCTCTTTCACTATATCTGCCTTTGCAATATAAACAAATCAATCTTTTGGTCTGCCAAAGAAAATCTCCATACGGAAAAGAGAAAACAGGAAAGTCATCTACTTAAGGAAATGACAAACATACTTAGGTGCCTTTCAGTATTTAACATGAATTATTTAACATGAATTGAGGGGGCGAAGCACAGACACAGAATGAAGAAGATGCACCCAGACTAGCAAGCAATGATCTAAATGGAAATGAAAACCCAGAAGAAGAGAACTTTTGGAGGCAGCAGACCTTCCAGTGTCATCCCTCAGCCCCTGGAGGAGTCAGAACCTTCAACAAGGGTACACAATGTGCTGCGGGACCACGTGGGATAGGACAGGCTCCAGGAGAGACGTGATGGAACAGTGTAAAGCTCTGTCTTGCCAAGTGCAACAGTGCAGAGCAGCTGGCCAAGTGGCCAAAGGCAGCATGGAAGGAAGACCCTAGATAGGATGTGACTGAAACAGAGCCTGCTGATCCACAGGATATCGAGGTGACTAGCTTTTCGCCAGATTTAGAATAAATCTAAGTATATTTTCTCTTTGCTGTTATTCATTAAACTCCCCTGAGCCAGGTCAAAGTTTATAGCGATCGTTTAAAACAAAAAAATAAAAACAGAACTGGTATTTAGCTCACAAGTCTGTGGCACTAGAAATTCTATGTAACACACCACAAGGAGTGTCACCAGGAAGCAGCTGTGTGCAAGGCACTGTAACGGACAGAAAACCAAGAAAGCTCCAAAGCTTGTGACAGAATATGCCTTCTGGAAATCGCCACAGCAGTAGCTCCAGTAGCTCATGTTCTTCTAGAACCTTCTTCAACCTAGCCGGGACTTCACATATTTGTCAACAAACAGAACACGGAAGAGATTCTGCATTGCCTTTATGGCTATGGCAGAGAAAGCAACAAGCCTTCCCTCTGACTCTCGGTCTCGTGGAGTGTGCACACTTGGATCCCTGCTGCCATACAGCTGAGGGAGCCCAGACTGGCATGCAGGGAGACCACAGGTTGAGGCCCCCTTGCAGAACTGGAGCCCACTGTGTGCTGTCCAAATTCCTGGCCACAAACATCATCCCTGCTACCGCAGGCCACAAACTTTCAGGCTGATGTGTTATACAGTCATCATAGCCCGCAATTCAGTGGGAGAAACGAAGATACGAGTAACTGCCACAGGCAGGCGGCGGGAAGCGCCACACGGAACACCAAGGCCGGAGGAGGGCACAGAGCAACAATTCCGGCCAAGGGATGGAGGGGGAAGGACAATGGGAAAGGTTTCTCTGAAGTCGTCTTCATGCCGGATCACACAGAATTTCAAAGGGAAAGAGAGATGATCTGCAGGAACTTGGTGACAAAGCAGCATAGCCCACGTCCCCAAAGAAAAATCTCCAATGTTTTTGTTTTATGAAGCCTCTAACACCAACAGAATCAAACTATGAGGACACTTTAGGAAGCATAAAAAGACAAGGTGGTAGTGTTCTAGGGACTAAGTTTAATTACATGAAATTACATGTTTCGTACTGTTTAACCTCAGCACAGAGGGCTAACCTTGACCCTGAGGAATGAAACCCACTTATCAGAGCTTCCTTTGATATACTGGCCAAGACAAAAATTAATGCCTTGCATGCTCGCTGTTCCAAACCTACTATCAGACTAATGACAGTAATTCTCCAAGGCTCACATTCTTAGGAGTTCCACGGGGTGACCAACAGGGAGGCATTTGTCACAGACTAAAATGAAAAGAGCCAGCGCCTAATCACAGTCATAAAAAGCTGAGTAAATTCATAAGCTTCTTTAATTGCTGAAATTTACCCCTAACTCCCTTGATAAGGGTATAAAGATTGTGTCTGCAGTCATCCAACTGACTACCAAGTCAGAGCATTTAGCTCTTGGAGCAGATCTGGCTGAGCGGAAGCCCAATGGTGGCAGCTCTGAGCTGCTGGCCACAGGCACGCTGCAGACGCTCACTCACCTGGGATTCAGGATCCGAAGTATTGACCCAGGTAGGCTTGCAGAACCCAGAAACAGAACCTCGATCCTCCTCACCTCATAGAACTTTTTCAAAGAGCCCACCAGGCACAGCTTCAGGCTATCCACGATCTCCTGATGTGGCATCTGGAACACCACTCGCGAGTACCACTTAGTGAGAGTGCTGGGGCAGGCCCAGGGCAGGGGGTGAGAGAAGGAGAGGGAGGGAGAGAGGGGGAGAGAAAGAGAGAGACACAAAGATGAACGAGCAGTCACAGGGACGTCTCTATCAGTCAATCTACCAACAAATATACAACAGGAGTTTATGCTGCATGAAAAACACACAGTGACGTGGGTAAGAAATCCCTACCCCGTGTTCTAGAATGCAAAAACATACATATCATTGCAGGCATTTATAATAAAACCAGATCTGATAAAAAAAACCTAGCATTGCAGCCACCAACAGAGGACGAGTCAGGGGACATAGCACACGACAAAGTCTGTGCGGCAGCCGAGAAGGGACTGATGGAGATTTACTCGCACTGACACAAGAAGGTGTCCACATAAAGCAAGCTGGGGGACAACACATATAGAAGTCCCATTTGCATACAAAACACATACAAATAAATGCATTAATGCATCTATAGAGAAGGGAATCTTAAATATACGTACATTAACATCTTGGTGCTAGTTGGCAAAAAATGGATAATACAAAACTTTATAAATCTCCACAGGTAACTGGAATGAGAATGTCTTATTTTTATAATTCCAGAAAAACAACCAAAACCCCTCACTTTTAGGGGCAGGAGGGAACCAACTGTGTGGGACAGCCCCATCCTTGAAAGAGCGCCACGCTGGGAGCTTCCCAGACAACCTGGTCAACCAGCTGCTTCAATAAGGACCATAAGAAGAACACATCATACTTGAAAATCTTTTCAGGGCTTACAGTAAGATTAGCACGAGAACATGAAAGTCAGCGCAATGCAACTAGGACTAGCACGTACAGGTTGATGCTTGCCACGAAGCCGACCACGGAGCGCATGCCTCTGCTGGGGTCATGGTAGACATCCATGCCAATCACCATCAGCTGTTTCTGGGGGAGAAGACAAAGCAAATGCCAAACCCACACACTCCACTGCTCTGTGTTAACCGCTACCTGGAGCGTTACCTGTTTACAAATAAACATTAATTCTGGAAACAAAGAGAAAGACTGCCATCAACTTGACAGGTTATTTTTCTCTAAGACTTTTTTTTTTTGAAAGGCAGAGTTACAGAGAAAAGCGACAGAGCAGTTGTAAGTTGAACTGGTGCCTATATGGGATGCCAAGAGTCACAGGTGGCAGCTTAACCTACTGTCCATGATGTCAGCCTGATTTGACAACTATTAAACATGCTGGGGGGCCTGGCACAATAGCTTAGTGGCTAAACCCTTCACCTTACTAGTGCTGGGATCACATATGGGCGCTGGTTCACATCCCAGCTGCTCAACTTCCCTTTCAGTTCCCTGCTGTGGTCTGGGAAGGCAGCAGAGAACAGCCCAAAGCCTCGGAACCCTGCACCCACACAGGAGACCTGGAAGAAGCTCCTGGTTGCCAGCTTTGTATTGGCTCAGCTCTGGTCACTGCGGAGGGAGCCAACGGATAGAAGATTTTTTTTCTCTGTCTCTCCTCCTCTCTGTAAACGTGACTTTCCAATGAAAATAAATATTTAAAAAAACATGGTGAAACAGTTCTACATTAGAGGTCAGCTCACGCTTTTTGTTAAAAGGATCACACAGGGACCTCATCGGCTCTGGAGCCCCAGGAGCCCCAGGAGCTCTTCAATCTGGCCTTTTCTTATGATGATGATTCTTTTTCATGGAACTGGATGTTTTACACTTTTATTTTTAATTTATATAAACTGAGTAGGTTCCACATTTTTCAGGATAAAGATTGAAAAGCTCAGGGGTTCCACATTCCCCTCTCAAAAGCAAGCACAGTACAAGAACAAGGATGCCCATAAACCCAATAAACTGTGTTTAAGGACACTGGGATACACTAAAAGCTTAGTTTCACATAATTGGCATGTGTCATGAACAACTGGTCTTATTTCTATTGTTTTCAGCATTTAGAAACGTAACGACTATTTTTAGTCGCTGGGCTTGGACCACTAACAGGCAGGGAAGCACTAGTGAGTAAATACTGGGAAAGGCACTCGGGGCGCCAGAGCAGAAGACCAGGGAGCAGGCAGGCGGCTCTCGCCGGAGAACCAAGCTGAACGAGGACACGGGCAGCACCACTCACCAGAGGAATATCCACTCCCCAGAGCTCACCGCCCAGCTTGCAGTTTATCTGCAGTAAGATTTTCTGGGCCACACTCCGAAGCCTGGCGGGCTGCCCAATGGTCCGGACATTGATGACCTGTAAGTGAAGGGATCACAAAGCGTGGACAAACGCAAGGCATGAGTCACTCCTCAGAAAAGGATGCTAAGTCTCAAGCAAACACCGCACTTCGGGCCCTGCAGTGTGGCCTAGCGACTAAAGTCCTCGCTCTGAATGTGCCGGGATCCCATATGGGTGCAGGTTCTAATCCCGGCAGCTCCACTTCCCATCCAGCTCCCTGTGAACACCATACTTCAGAAATGCAGGCCAGCAGAGGAGGGCTAATCACTCCAATTCTAGCGTTGCCAGTCACGCCTGTGCATATGCCAAAGCAAACAAGACAGCCAACCAACAAAAGCTTTCCCCAGGGTCTCCTGCAGCATGCAATTCTAAGCCCCATAGGAAAATCAGCCTTCCCCATTCGGAGCAAAGGAGTGTGCTCTCAGAACCCAATCACAGGGAACCACCCCATGACTGAACTCCCAGCAAGCAGGTCAGTCCAGGGGAGTGCCTAGGCAGCACTTAGGAAGGGCTGGCTATCCGCCATTCCCCAGGTTACTCTCAGCACATCCACTCTTCCCCAGAAGGCCCGCTGTACCCTGGCTTCTCACAGCTACTTCAGGCTGTGGCACACTCACCTGGGAGGGCACCGGGGACTGCACGCAGCACAGCTTCTTGATGGCCCCGTAGAGGTCATCCCGGGTCCCCATGATAATGCAGACAACCATCTGGATCTTCCCCTGGGTAAGAGCGAGAGGAAGCAAGCCAGGCTTTGGAACTCAGACTGGCATGGCCACCCAGTCGGGGCAGTCGGAGCCTGCAATGCCATGGGCCTTTTACGGAGACAAGGAACTCAGAGATGGTGACCACTGAACCAGAAAAGCCTTCACTCAAGTAGCATGTGTTTGGCTCGGGGTTGCTCTGCATGAACAGGCAATGTAACAGCATACTGAAAATGTCTCCACCAGGACACTACATGCCTGGAGAAGGAAGAGGTTTCAAAACACACAGGGCTACATTCTCACTTTCAGCTCCCTCCAAAGTGGTGAGAGTAGGCAGCTTCTAGCACTCGTTCCACAGAACCTTGAGAAAAAATGGGATGCAGCAGCAGTAGCAGGGACTCAGAGCCCCATGCAGCACAGGGTGAGGCAAGCTCCTGCAGAGTCCTTCAACAACGGTCCCTACCTCTCTAACTAGAGAGTGACAGTATAGCCAGCAGCTTCCGCCACGTGGCAGCCTTTATGTCCCCAGTGTTCAGGACATCTGAGACACAGGACCTCCCAAAGTCTGAATAAAAAAAGGGAGAACTCAAGTTGAGTAAGACTGCCAACCTTCTGTGCTGGAAAATGCCATAAATCAGAAGTCAGCAGTCTACGGCTTCAACTCAAGACTGGTTTGTCAGGTAAGGCTTCTCAGAGGCCACATGTCGCAGCAATGCTATCAGTCACGTGGCCATGATGTACACTGGGAATTGATGGGCTGAACTCAGCAAACACATCTTTTTTTATTCCCTATGAAGATTACTAATTTGTCTGTTTAAATAAATATTTAAGCATACAGTGATGTACACATAGGAAAATCCAGATTTTTTGATTCCTTTCCAAAACAAAAATCAATGTGGCAATACTGCTTCTCTCTCTGGACCACAGGATTGTTAATTCACTACAGTAACCCCTCTAGGCCCACTTCATCCAGTTACGTTACTTCTCTACCTGATGAGACATCTGTGTGTGATCACTCATAAACAGAACAATAACCACACAGAACGTCCTGAAGATGGCAGAGAAATACCACCCCCGCACGAGGCTCGTTCAATTATGCCTGAGAACTGCTGGCTGTGTGCTCTCATGATAAAGGAGACATGAGAAGCTGTGAATGGAGCGAGCGGGTGTAGCCAAGAATATCAACAAACAGGCCTGAGGGGAGCCATGAGGCAGGGCAGCTGGGCGATCAGGAGGAACCTAGAAAATGCACACAAAAATGTTGCTACAAATGACAGACCCAGAGGGATGGATCAAAGCGAGGGCACACACGCTGACCGTCCCAGAACAATTCTCTGCACCAAAGTCTGCAATTCAAGGGTGAGCTATGCCTCCCAAACCTTCCACCTGTCTTTGCTCTATCCCTAATCTTACTCTTATTTACTACCAGATAAGAACAGTGAGAACTGAGCTACTGAGCTGTGGGTGCTGTGACCTGCTCAGACCCAGTGCCCCAATCAGTTAACAGGGCCCAACTGATGGGCCACCTGCCAAGGGCATCACCAAGCAGCTGGTCTCTTGAGTCAAAGCACGGCAGCTCAGGGCTGAGTCGTGCAAGCTGGCACCTGGTCCAAGTAGCTGCTTTTCTGAGTACCACATGTTCGACAGATAATGAACCTTTTCTCATAGCCAAGTACGTGACAAAAACAGTCCGAGAGAGAGAACCAACCAACAGAGAGTCAGGGAAACCAAGGAACATGAGAATACTTTCTCAGTTCAGCATTTCACGTGTACATGGGTAAGACAGAGGTTCCTATATGTCAACAGATTGATGATCAAGTAATTTAAACTCAGTCATTCAAGCATTTTACAACAGACATTTACCCGGATCAGTTAGTTACCTCCACTCCCAGCATGGACTGAATGGTTCTGATGTAGGTCTCTATGCGGTCATCCTTCAGCTCAACCCAGGCTGGGGCGCTCATGCGCATGCCAATGGGGCCGGCTATCTTCTCTAACATGTTAACCAGTTCTCGCGCCTGATCCGTTGCTCTCTTTGGGTAAAAAAGCGCCCAGAAATGCATGGGGATCTAGGAACAACCACAGGCTGGTTTTCAGTACTTCTCGCAACTAATGACATTCTAAATTTACACTCAGAAGATTTTTTTTCTAAGGAATAAATTGCTCTTCACACCCTCAGCTTACCTGACTCCTGTTATTAACAGGGACAAAGATGAGAAGCATACTGCAACACATGAAATACAATATAGAAATTGAGAAAGGAAGTTCTACAGTAACGGCCAACAGTAGGGACAACACTCACCAATACAAGGTTGCAGAGAGGGAAGCCAGGCCAAGGTACACTGTGTGACTCCATGTATATAGAACAAACAACAACCACTGCAAACATCTCTGCCATCAGAAGTCAGAGTAGAGGTCAGAGAGAGAGAGAGAGAGAGAGAGAGAGAGAGAGAGTGTGTGTGTGTGTGTGTGTGTGTGTGTGTGCACGCGCGTGCACGTGCACTGAGGGACAAGAAGTAACTCATTCCCGATGCAGGCATGAAAGGAAAAGCTCGTGGGGCTGGTGAGGTCGTTTCTCAAACCTTGTTACTGATTACACAAATCTGTGAAAACTCATCAAGTTTATCACTTTTAAGTGCACCTTGCCTTTATTGTATTTCAATATAGACTCCGAGAAAGTTAGGCTGCACATGGCCACAAACACTAGGCTAGCCAAAAACATTTAGAAGTAACTATCTACCTTTTATTCTTCAATGCAAATAGCTAATACAGTAGTTGCCTTTGTGGGGCACCGTTTTAATCAAATTTGACTTCTTTCATGGATAAAATCGCTCTCCAGAAACTCTTTGGGGAACAGGAGGAAAAAAGTATTAACAGGCTGGCACTTCAGGGATTTCCACAGCAACTTGCTGGCTCATCCTAAGTTTGGAGACAGGCAAACTAATCAACTGCTCTGCTTAGCAGGTAATTCACATCAATAACGCCATCATTTCAGCTCCCTAATTTTCACATTTTTTAGAACACTGATCCTCTGTACCACTTGAAGTACTTACAGTCAAGATGGAAAGGTCTCTGGTTACTTCCTTAACCCAGTTTAGATCCTGAGATGTGATAAATGAAGTGTTTCTTAGGTTAATTCTTTCCATTGGTAGAACACGTCCTTCAATCTAAATAGAACATAAAATAGCTATCACATGAGTCACCCCAAATTACTATTTAGTAAAACAATGTTTCTGTTCTCTGTGAGGTCTGGTAAGCTCTAACACAAATCCTACCTGTTAAAGCTTTTCAGAATAGCAGGAAGATGAGACTCCTAGTAGTAGAGTCCAAGTCAATAAAAATCTGGACTCACACAGGTAAGATCTACCAGGTACTAATCTTTCATGCAAGCTTCCAACATGGCATCACAAGAAACAACTCCAAAACAGTCTCCTTAGCACCAGGGAATGAAGAAAAATAATCTTTGGCCAGGTCTTAAATACATATTTATTTTTACTTTACTGTAAGGTCAAAGATCTTCCATCTGTTGTTTCACTTGGCAAGTGCCCAACTGCCATCTTTAAAATAAGCCAAAGTCAAGAATGCCATCCAGGTCTCCCAAAAGGGTGGCAGGGATCGCCTGAGCCATCACCTGCTTCCTCCAGGGTCTGCTTTAGCACCAGCTTCCTGCTGCTGCAGAGGAACAAGGGTTGCCCAAGTTACCTGAGTCGGGGGACAGGCATCCCAACTGAAATCTTAACTGCGTGCCAAATGCTGACTCAAAAAAAAAATTACGTTACATTTAGAAAATGTATTTAAGAGACATGAAAGAGGAAAAAAATGAACTCCCAATTACGGTTCACTCTCCAAATGCGGCCCGACAACTGGTACTGGGCCATGTCAAAGGCAGGAGACAGAAACTCAATCCAAGCTCTCCTATATGGTTTCAAGAGGACCACCTGTCTGAGCCAGCCCCTGCTGCCTCCAAGGGTGGACATCACCAGGAAGGCAGAGCCCAGAAGAGATCCCAGACACAAACCCACTGACCCTAACACGGCGCGGAGCAGCCCAGCCAGCGTCTTCAGTGCGAGTGCAAACCCTTCCCTATCCTCCACACACTATATTAAGGACAAAAGCAAAGGTGGAAAACTAAGGACAACATTTCTTCATAAAGCTAACCATTGATTACTGTTCACACCGGAAATAAAGCCATGACGTAACTATGAAAAATTAAAATGGAAAAAAACGTATCCATCAGATCTAAAGATCTAAAAACAGTATGATGGTTTAATTTGTGATCACTAAGCTCACTTTTTAATTATACATGACACGTCCCTGCTTTTGTAAAAACAAAACATAAAAATTCAATGAGCCTAAATCTAGTAGTAATTTTTTTTTTTTTTTGCAGATTTACTTTATTTTCATTGTAAAGTCAGATATACAGAGAAGGAGGGACAGGGAGGAAGATCTGTCTGTTGATTTACTGCCCAAGCAGTCACAACTGCTGGAGCTGAGCTGATCCAAAACCAGGAGCCTCTTCCAGGTCTCCCACACGGCTGCAGGGTCCCAAGGCTTTGGGCCGTCCTCCACTGCTTTCCCAGGGCACAGACAGGGAGCTGAAGGGAGGTAGAGTAACTGGGACATGAACCAGTGCCCATACAGGATCTTGGCGCATGTAAAGCAAGGATACAGCCACTGAGCCATCATGCTGGGCCCCCCACATTTACTTGTGAAAGCTTTTTTTGTTTGAAAGGCAGAGAGAAGGCAAAGAGAAAGATTAAGACAGATTTTCTATCCACTGATTTACCCTCTCAAACACCTGCCAACAACCAGGGTTGAGTCAGGCTAAAGCCAGGAACTTGAAAATCAACCCAGGTCCCCCATGCGTGTGGCAGGGACCTCAATACCTGTGCCATCCCCAGCTACTCTCCATGGTATGCATTAGGACACGGAGGCGGGATCCGACGGCAGGCACTTGCAGGTCTCCTCAGACAGTGGCTTAACTTGCTGCACCACAACATCCAGCACATTGTGTGTTATTACTTAATCAAACAGCATAGGAGCAATTGTCAAGCGTGCTAGAGGACTGCAGCAGCGACAAAATTATTTTGGTATCAACTCAAAAGAAAAGTGAAAACAGCCAAAATACACTTGTAATATGTCTATAATAAACCGGTGTAGGCAGTGGCCCAGGGTGTCTTGTCCGTAGGCAAGGGTTACACTCCTGGGAGCAAAGCAGCCAGCAGCCGGCTGGCACTCCGGGTTAACTCTACGACGGGTCAGCATAGCTGCCTATTCTTTAATGTTAAATCTACAACAGACTGACTTTTGCAGGAAGAGCCCACCGTCTTCAGTGACGCAGCAGTGACAGGATGAAGTGGACAGACAGGCCAGGGGCTCCAGGATCCCAGGCAGCTGATACCTCAGCATGCCGCTGCACTAGGCCAGGGTCCTGGGGAAGGGCGGTCTTCCACTGATGGCCTTTGGCACGGTCAACAAACCTGGACGATCACGTACAGCTGATCTCCAGAACCAGGGCCCAGGGGCGTCTGTACTGGCCTCGAAACACACAGTGTATGTTATGCTGTCTCCTGTGCCGATTCTGTGCAGGGGAGAGGATCACACACAAGGAGGAGGAGCTGTCCAGGTCCTGTCATTCAGTCAAGGACCTCGGATGACATTTCAAAAGACAGAAAAGGCCAGCGACTTCTCAGGAGGACAGTGACATCAGGGGGACCCAGTCACTAGTGCCAGCTGGAATTCCTCGAGCTGAGATAGACCTATTAGATGCTCTGAGAGATTTCTGAATGCGAGACATACACGGCCTACATTCCTCATCGGCAGGAAGTAACTGCAGAAGCCGTCAGGAATTTGTTTCCTTCAGCAACCTTAAGATGAAGGGCTGGAAATCTGCGGAGGGGACAGAATGGGACAGGCTGGTAGCTAGCCTAGAGTCATAAACTGGAGGCCACACTTCCCTACCCTATGTAATACTATCTGCCTACCTGTCGCTCAATAATCCCTTCCACAGAACGTATTCCCTCTCACCCAGGACTTGGGGGTGGCATCGTATAGCCACTCCCACTCCCAGACTCAGGGAAAGCTAGCCAGAGAGGTCAAACGGGGAGAGGTCTCTATCCCAGCTGTCCCCTCCCTGCTCACTCTGTATGCCTGAATTTGTCTGTGATTTCCCTACCTTATAAATATCTTACACACAAACGTTACTTTTTTTAAATTTTCACAGGGTAATAAGAGGTCTGGCTACAAATTTTAAATAGGATCATCAGGCAGTGCCCCATAGGTCTGCCTAATCACTGTGAACTTAATCTTCTGAGCAATAAAAGTCCACAATAAAGTTCAAAAAAAGAAAAGAAAAGCTATGGGCCCGGTGCAGCAGCCTAGTGGCTAAAGTCCTTGCCTGGCATGCACTGGCATCCTATATGGGTGCCAGTTTGTGTCCCGGCTGCTCCACTTTCCATTCAGCTCCCTGCTTGTTTCCTGGAAATGCAGTAGAGGACAGCCCAAAGCTTTGTGACCCCGCACCCATGTGGAAGACCCAGAAGAAACTCCTGGCTCCTGGCTTTGGATTGGCTCAGCTCTGACCTTGGGAAGCAAACCAGTGGGTGGAAGTTCTTTCTGTCTCACCTTTTCTCTGTAAATCTGACTTTCAAATAAAAACACCTAAAAGAGAGCATGCAACAGAGAGAAAGACATCCAGTGTCTTAATCACTTAAAAAGGGGATCAGCCTCGCGGCCCTGTGGATTAAGCCTCTGCCAGCGACACCAGCATCCCAAATCAGCACCGGCTGGAATGCTGTTCTCTGCAAATGCACCTGGCAAAGTGGCGGAAGATGGCTCAAGGGTTTGGGCTCTTGCCACTCACACAGGAGCCCAAGATGGAATTCTAGGCTCCTGGCTTTGCCCTGGATCAGCCTTTGCCAATGAGACCATTTGGGGAGATGAAGCAGTAACGGAAACTCATGCTTCTAGCTTTGCCTTTCAAAGAAAGAAAATAACATTTAAAAAATTAATTAGGGTTTGGATCCTGAAAATTAAGTCAATATTGCTTTTGCTATCTGTCCAGGAATTAATAGCTCCATTCCCTGGGAAATCAGACTAAATCAGGTCAAGGGAATGTAAGCATCCCGACTGGGAATGAAAGGCAGAAAGCAAGCCAGAATGTAAACAAGGCAGAAATTCTGAAATGAAGTTAGCAAGTTACCACGCTGTGTCACCAAACTCTACAACCCTGGTGACAAGCACCGTTTCCCACGCCGTCAGGTGACCTCGTCTACCTTATGCACATCCTTCTGCAGACAGAGCCCCCAGCGCGTCAGCTCACTGTTGGCCATTTCATTCTTGGAAATTCTTTGGAGCAAGCACTCTAGAGCACTGTGGTGCTGCTTCGGGCTCAGGTTGATCTGCTGGGTCAAATCCTAGAGAGAGAGAGAATGGCGAGGATTCGTTCTAAGCATCCCTCTGTCCAGTGTGAGGACCCCAATGTCTCTAAAACAGAACCGTGGAGTGGCCAGTCAGCCTGGCAGTGAAGACGGCTGTGCCCTGCCTCCGAGTCCTGTCCTTCTCATTCCAGTTGCCCACAGTGGGACAGCAATGATGTCTCAAGGAACTGGGGTCCTGACACCCAAGTGGGAGACCTGAAGTGCCATCCTGGCCCTGCCATCCTTATGCCAGTCATCCAGGCAAACATACAGAAATCTGTTGTCACTCTTGTATTTTATCTCATGCTTTACTAGCCACTCAGTATCATCACAAGGTAGGTACTTTCTGCTCAGAGCTTGCCACAGTGTTTGACCTGCTCCATATTTAACTGAGCAATATCTCACAGGTACATGAAGAGTCTAGATCACATGAGTTCTCTGCGGTTCTAGGGCCAATAAACTGCACAGCCACTGTCCAGGAAGTTCACGTGGTTACATTATCATGGGTAGCACCGTGACCATAAAATTATTAGGCAACTGGGAGTCATAAGGAAGGCACTGTGACCCACACAGCCAAGGCAGGAGGGGCAGAGTCAACATGAAGGAAATAAACGTTTTACGGGAACTTTGAGCTTCACTTCGTGATGTTCAACAATCTGATGTGACATATCAGGCAGACATGGAGCAGACGGCGAAGCAGCAGAGCGCGAGCAGCTCTTTCAGAGGAGCAAGAGAGCATGCAGGGGCCTGGCACCCACCCTGCTGGGCAAGCCGTGCCAGTCTCTGCTGGCAGTGAGGTTCTGTGGGACCTGAACCCAACTAGCCTGCGTGCCCAGAATCCACTAGACAGGCCCCATCCATGGCTTCTGACATCATCTCCTCCACACCTTTAACTCAGCTGGAGGCTTACAGGAAATTACAATAATCCAGCACTCGCAGAGTCTCCTGGGTGGTCACCTGACCAGGAGGATGAAGACAGAGCTGCTGGTTTCTTTTTTACCTGGTAACTGAGTCCCTCAAAGGAGGCCGTGACGGGCTCTGACACACCGAGTACAGCAAGAGACACTGATCATGTTTCACAGAGAGGAAAGCTAGGATCTGGGAGAAGGGATTTGCCCAGGCGACAGCTCACGCCAGTGTCAGAGCCAGAACCCAGCCTGCTTCTAACGCAGACAGTACCCAAAGGGCGCTTTACGGGAACCAACGGGACTCCGACCTTCATAGCTCTGAAGTCCTTCTTCATTTTCTCTGGGATTCCAGTCATGAAGGAAAGCTCAGGCAGCAGCAGGATTTCACCTTTCAGGAGCTTTGGAGAAAAAACAGGAGGGGAAAGTGAGGCAGTGGGAATAGGACAGGGCTTCCCTGACCTGCAGATGCCCTATGGTCCAGGGTTGGTCCTGGAGTGACCTCCTGTGGACACCAAGGCACGTGAGACCCCGGACAAGGGCAAGGGATTAGTACTTTTCTCCATCCAGTCATGGTACACACAGCCTGCCTTATCAGGGACAGCTGCAGCTGTCCAAAGGAAATGAAAACTAGAGAAACAAAACAACCCTGTCTCTCCTGGGGCTCTAGACAATGGTTAGACAATATATCCCATCAAACTGTGCTTCCATCTCTCTACCCTGGGCTTCTCCTCAGCCTGAGCAGCTCCAGGAGTCTGGACGCAAGAGACCTTCCTTCAGGCCAACTCTGTGAAAAGAAATGTCTACCCTCTCCTTAATGAGCCCAAAGTTTGCACCTTGCATCACAAGAAACTTTAGTCCCATCTTCAACTAAAATCACTCTTGGATATTTAGCTCCTCCTTGTGAAGACTTCGAGAGCGAGTCAGCATCCCAAACCCTGCACAACTTTCCTCAACCACGCCATCATCAGCGCTCCACCCCACCCCTCAACAGCTGTGAGAGCAAGCTACAAGAGCAACCCACAGAATGAAGGACAGGGACCGGACGTGTACGCCGGACAGCCTGCTCACCATCCCGTGGTTGTTCTGCCTCTCGCTGGGCCTGTGAATCAGCAGCGGCTGGTCCTCTTCCTTCACGGTGATCCCATAGTTTTTGCTAAAGGTGGAAGCAGGGAAACATTTCAGTAACGGCGTCCCCACTCTTGGAGCAACAGTCCAGAGTCTCCTGAGCAGGACTGAGGTATACATCTGCACAATGCCCTTATCCAGAATCCATGTGGAAGACTTTATTTATAAGAGGAAAAAGCAGGTTCACACTACACTGTTAGTTAAACACAAGAGACATAAGACTCAAAGCCAAAGAAAAAGTGTATTGGGGTGCAGAGCCTAGGGAACAGAAAGGCAAAATGATAGCCATGGCTAATGAATTAAACCTCATCTTCCAACTAGACATCTAACAAAATCAGCAACATAAAGACAATTCAAAGCCCCGAGAAAAAATTATATAGTAGCTTCCCAAAGCATTCAAGGAATTTCTGAGAATAATATATTCCCACAAACAAACTCATCTAATCTAGGGCATATCACTCATTCAAGTATTTTGAAAATGTCAAGATGAATGCTATCGGGTAACTCCGACATCCTGCTGAAGTCGGAGATGACATTCTACCCCACCCTTGGGCCCAAACCCGGAGTCTTCTGTCCACCTGTAGTATTCCAGAAACGTGATCTCCTTGCCGTCAGACATGGTGAAGCTATCTTTTGGAGTCTTATTCCAGTCCACATCATCGATCCGGTAGGTGCGATTGTTGTATCGGGTGATGACGATGCTGCCAACCAGAAGCTTACTGCACTCTTCCTGGAAGTTCTCCTTGTTTTGCTGATACATGGCGTGCCTTTGGGAAGGAAGGAAGACCTGGATCCCAGGGTACACACACAGAAGTACGTGTAATGCAGGGCTATCACCACGGCCAGCTAGCAGCCCCAGGAGGCTCCAGTCGTGTGTTCACTTTTTTCAAATAGAAAATAATCAGCAGCAGCAGTGAAGAAAAAAAAATCATTAGAAGCAACAATCACATGTTAACAAGATTCACCAGACTGTAAAAAGAGGTGTTCTAACAATTACCTGCTTTCACCATACTAGAACTCAGGATACAAAAGGCACAATAAAACATTCTCTCAACTATATTCGCTCTTTCCTACCTGCAGGAAAAGCACCAAATCTGAGCCTATCAGGAGCCACTAGTAAGATGCTACAGATGAAGGATGAGACAGCACACACACAGGTAATGTCAGGAACCGTGCCACAAGCAGACAACACAGCAGCGCTTGGTACCAACACACACACACAGAGCCAAGGAAAGGGCCAGGGCAGCTGGCCACTGCAGAAGGAACCTGCCAGGCTGGGCTGTGGGCACCACCATGGCCAGAGGAAGATGAAGGGGGATAATCATGGAGGTTAGTGGAAACAGAACAGAGAAGTTAAGACAAGTCTATTTTGGTGCAAAACACTTCAAACCCACACGCACTTTTTCAACACACACGTTTCCTGTGAACTTTCACATAAATCACTTTTACATAAATTTTTTTTACCTAAATCACATAGAATTATGTGTACCACACATAATGAGGTGACTGAAAATATCGCATTACCCTTCTATGTAACACACCCCAGGCTCAGGGTGTGCACATTTCACAGTGTGAAGTGAATGGATTAGAACGACTAACATGGCCCACGTGTCACAGCGGGGGAAGAGAGCTGAAACTGCTGTGGGTCCAAAACACACAAATGCTGAACTACGAAAGTCAGAAGCAACCAACAGTACAGAATTCATACTAACAGGTATAGTTAATACCCCCTATGAAGATTCTCAATTTTCTCTCATGAAATGCCTTTTTTCTAGTTATCATTTCCTTTTTCTTTACAGAATTTACTCAATCATTTGGAAGGCAATGTTACAGGATCCTGATCCATGGGACCATGGCCACACCAGGCACAGCTGGGCAGCAGTTAGGAACGTCTCGTGGACGCCCACATGGGTGGCAGGGTATACGCTCTGCTCTTCTTGCATATGCATGAGAAAGGAGCTGGGTCAGAAGTGGAGCAGCCAAGGACCCAGGGCAGTAGCCTACTGGTAAAGTTCTCACTTTGCATCCACCAGCATCCCATACGGGTACCAGTTTGTGTCCCCGTGGCCCTGCTTCCCTTCCAGCTCCCTGCTTGTGGCCTGGGAAAGCAGTTGAGGATGGCCCAAAGCCTTGGGTCCCTGTACCCATAGGGAAGACTCAGAAAGAAGCTCCTGACTCCTGGTTTCAGATCGGATCAGCTCTGGCCATGGCGGCCACTCGGGGAGTGAATCATTAGACAGAAGATCTTTGGTCTCTCCTCCTCTCTGTATATCTGACTTTCCAATAAAAACAAATAAAATTTTTTTTAAAGTGGAACAGCCAGACATAAACCAATGCTCCTAAGGGAAGCCGGGGCCCTGCTGTGCTACACAATGCTGTCCCCTAACTGTTTCCTTGTACTGGAAAAGGATGGCTGGAGGCTGGGAGGGGGCAACCGAGTAAAGGATAGAGGGCCTGGGGTAGTGGGGAATAAAGACTACAGGCCCACGCCTTGTTATCCTAACATACAGTACTGGAGAAGACATAAAGGACAACAACTTTAAACTGTACCTGTTTTATTTTGAATTTAAAAAATAAAATCCTATGGTTTCAGGCAAAATGTTATTTTCTAAAAAATATTAGATGTACTTATCACTCAAGAAATGCCAAAGTACAAAAAGAAATCAGATGCCATTTTTAATTGCACATTTTTGTCTTCAACAAAATCATTTATTTCCATTGATTTGAAAGGGAGGGAGGGGTCTTTCATTCATCTGAATCACTGGCGGCCCAGGGCAAAGGAGCCCAGGAGCCCGGAACTCAAGCTGGGTCTCCTGTGGGTGGCAGGGCTGCGGGTACCCAACCAACACCAGCAGCTGCTCTCAGGGTGCACGCCGCAGAGGGATTTAGGAGGCAGCAAGGGGCAAATCCAGGAGTCGGGCTCCTACCATGCACCCAGAGATTTAGAAACGAACTCTGGGTGCCAGTTCAGCCCAGCTCTGCCGAAGGCACTGTAAGCTGGGGAGTGAACCGCAGACAGTAGCTCTCTCTGTGCCTTTACGTGTCTCCACCTTTCAAACCTTAACACTACAGATCAACATTCCATGGCATCTGAACTGGTACCTCCACTTCTGCCTTATCTTCCCAAGACTCCCTCCATGCTTCCAGAAGAGGGGTGCTTCTGCAGCCACCCCCCGCTGAAGCAGCTCTGTAGTCAGACAAGGCCCTGAGGCCTCACACACAGCATCCCTTCAGAGCCCTCCGTCATCATCTCTCTCCCACCACTCTCAGCTCACTGCCTTGGCCCGAGTCACCCAGCACAAGCCTGGGAGACCCAGAGGAAGCTCCTAACTGCTGGCTCTGGATCGGCTCAGCTCTGGTAGTCGCATCCATTCGGGGAGTAAACCAGCAAATGGAAGATTTCGCTCTCTGTAAATCTGCCTTTCCAATAAAAATAAATCTTTTAAAAAGCAATTAAGGGCCCGGCGCGGTGGCGCAAGTGGTTAAAGGTCCTCGCCTTGCACGCCCGGGATTCCATATGGGCGCCGGTTCTAATCCCGGCAGCCCCGCTTCCCTTCCAGCTCCCTGCCTGTGGCCTGGGAGAGCAGTCGAGGACGGCCCAAAGCTTTGGGAACCTGCACCCGCGTGGGAGACCCGGAAGAGGCTCCTGGCTTTGGACCGGCATAGTATCGGCCCGTTGCGCTCACTTGGGGAGTGAATCATCGGACGGAAGATCTTCCTCTCTGTCTCTCCTCTCTGTATATCCGCCTTTCCAATGAAGAAGTATGAAAGTAAATCTTTAAAAAAATAAAAATTTAGAAAAAAAAAAAAAAAAGCAATTAAAAAGTTTTAAATACTGACCCACTTAAAAGGCAGAAAAATTAACAGAGATCTTCAATCTCCTGGTTCACTGCATGAACGCGTACAACAGGCAGGGTTGGGTCAGGTTGAAACCAGGAGCGCAAACTCCGGGCCACACACACAGCTGGCAGGGTCCCACACAGCTGGCAGGGTCCCAAGTACCGGAGCTATCCCCTGCTGCCCTCCAGAACGCATGAGCAGGAAGGTAGTCGAAGTACAAGAGCCCAGATTCCAAGCAGGACCCTGCTATGAGATACAAGTGGCCTGAACAGCAGCTAACCTACCATGTGTACCCCAACATCCACCCCAAACCATGCCTTCTTACTGTGTTAAGTCAAATTCTTCAAAACACAGCGGACATTCACGCAGAGGCCCATTTCAGTAGGTCTTAGGGACAAGGGTACATCCATCCATTCCGTTCTCTTAAGCTGCAGCACACTGACAAATCCAGAGCTCTGCCTAAGCCGGTCCAGCACCCGTCACACCTAAAGCTTCCAGAAAGCCACCAGCCTGTCAAGGCAGATGCTCTGGTTCACTCACATGACATCCAGCACAGAGTCGTTCCGAATGACCTTATGGGAGACGTCAGCAAGCAGGAAGAGCCCTCCGTCAGTCCTCCGGATACTGGCTGCATAGCCCGGCCAGATCTGCAACCTTGGGAGAGAGACGTGGTCTTTACCCAGGGGTTCCGCACAACACTTCAGCCGCTATTGCCCTTCCAGAGAAATAACAACAAAAACCTAGTACAGAAACCGAGTCAGCATCATGGTACACTTGCTTAAAAAAACCCAAACTCAAGAGGAGAATTACTGATAACTTACTTACTACCAAAGTATTTCCACAGTCTAACACCCAGAACATTCAAATGTGACAAGGGGGACGGCCACCAACCTGTGCTGCTGCAGCACCATGGCACTCGTGGGGTCGTAGAAGTTCCTCCCCACAAGCTTCATATCCAACAGCTTCATTACCCTGAAACAAAGAGCAGGAGCAGCTGCCTAACAGAGCAACAACACACCATGCCCCAGGACCCTATCACTGTGCTGCGGAAGCCTGAGCTGTGTGCTCGGGCCCGGTGCTGCGGCGCCTAACAGAGCAACAACACACCATGCCCCAGGACCCTATCACTGTGCTGCGGAAGCCTGACGGGTCTGAGCTGTGTGCTGCAGTGCAGCAGGTGAGGCTGCTGCTAGGTCGGCACATACGGGCGCCAGCTCACGTGCAGGCTGCCCCACACGCAGTCATCCAGCTCAGCTCTCGCTAATGGCCTGGGACGGCAGCAGATGGGCCAAGCTGCCAACCACGTGGAAGACCCTGAGGATGCTCCCGGGCTTGTGCCTGCCCAGCCCAGGTTGTGTGGCCATCTGGGGAATAAATCAGAGGATAGAAGACCTCTTTTTCTCTCTGCCTGTAACTCTTTCAAAGAAACATTTTTAAAAAGTCTGTGCTCTCTGTACAATACAGCTTTTACCTTGAGAATAATCGTGCTGAAATAAAAATTATATCAAAGCATTCATCTGACTAAACACTGAGTTCACTGCCCAGGCTTCACGTACAGCCCTGTTCACGACGGATCAAAAAGGACACGAGAGCCAGTTTTTAAGTTTACAAATAGCAGTGTGACAGACAGAGCTGCTTGTTCCTTGCTGCTCTGCACACAACAGAGAGCTGCTTCTATGGCAGCTTGGGAACAACAGCTGCAGGAAAACCAGATTCTCAAAGTAAGCTGCAGAATCAATAACTTCCTGAATGCCAAGAAATTCATCAGACTAGAAAAATTCTTCCTGGAAATATTTGCATACACGATCCCTTTCAAGTAGCCCCTTTCTTTTTTTTTTTAAAGATTTATTTTATTTTTATTGGAAAGGCGGGTATACAGAGAGGAGAGACAGAGAGGAAGATCTTCCGTCCGATGATTCATTCCCCAAGTGAGCGCAACGGCCGATGCTATGCCGATCCAAAGCCAGGAGCCTCTTCCAGGTCTCCCACGCGAGTGCAGGGTCCCAAAGCTTTGGGCCGTCCTCCACTGCTTTCCCGGGCCACAGGCAGGGAGCTGGATGGGAAGCGGGGCCGCCGGGATTAGAACCGGCGCCCATATGGGATCCTGGGCATGCAAGGCGAGGACCTTAACCACTTGCGCCACCGCGCCGGGACCTCAAGTAGCCCCTTTAACAGTTCTGTTTTAAATACACTAATAAGCCAGTACATTGGTGGTGGCATAGCCCGCTAATCCTCAACCTGCACCACTGGCATCCCATATGAGTGCTTGTTCGGGTCAGTCTGCTCCACTTCTAATCCAGCTCCCTGCTTGTAGCCTGGGAAAGCAGTGGAGGACAGCCCGAAGCCGTGGATCCCTGCATCCACATGGGAGACCCAGAAGAAGCTCCTGGCTTTGGATCAGCTCAGCTCTGACCTGCAGCCATTTGAGGAACGCACCAACAGATGGAAAATCTATCTCCTTTTCCTCTTCTCTCTATAACACTGACATTCAAGTAAAATAAATCAATTTAAAAAAAAGTACTTAAAATGCCACTTCAAAATTTCTTAAAGAATCAAAAAAAAAAAAAAAAAAACCCCTGAGTTTATATACCCAACTCTGGCCTACCACCTATAAGATAATCTTGAAATTAAGTCAACATCAGTGCTCAATGTTTCCAAACCCATCCAGACAGACACTGGACTCCATGCAAGCTTCTTGAAGACTTTTACCGGCGGAAGACGACATTGTAGAAGGGAATGCAGAGGTCCGAGCACGGCTCCAGGATCTTGGTCAACTGGATCTTGATGCTGATCTCGGCATCATCCGTCTTCCGCTGGCTTTTTAACTCAAGAACCTAAGAAATGAACACGCACGGGTAAAGAGAAATGACGAAATCATCAAGGCCTGACATGACCCTGCTGTGTTCTAGAGAACACGAAAAATACCACATGGGACGCCCACGAGGTACCTGGGTTCCATCCCAAACCGCACTTCCTGCTAACACACCCTGCAAGGCTGCAGGTGACTGCTCAAAATACATCTCATGCTTTCTGACTCTGGCCTTGCCTAGTCAGCTGTTGTAGAATGCAATACGAGAGAGAATTTTCTCCTCCCATCCCTGCCGTTCACAAAAAGAAATTGCAAAAAGGAGGCTGACCCCATGGCACAGAGGGCTAAGCCTCCAGCTGCAGTGCTAGCATCCCCCTATATGTACTGGGTCATGTCCCAGCGGCTCCACTTCTGATCCAGGTTCCTGTTAACGTGCCTGAGAAAGCAGTGGGAGATGACTCAAGTCTTGGGGCCTCTGCACCCAAGACACCCACACGGGAGACCCAGAAGAAGCTATGGCTCCAAGCTTCAGATCAGCTCAGCTCCAACCACTGAGGCCATTTAAGGAGTGAATCAGCAGATGGAAGACCAATCTCTGTCTCTCCTTCTCACTGTGACTCTTCCAAATAAAAATAAGATATTAAAAATCAAAGTTTTATTTATATTTCCCTTCACTTTGCTGACCATATCAGCAAAATCACAGCAAAACTAGAGATTAAAATATTAAAATGCATTTGGTAAGAGAAACCTGTTAATGTTTGAATTGCTTATCCTTGAGGCCAAAGACTCGGAACCACTGCCCTTATGCGAGAAGGGACACCAAGAACACCATCTCTGCTGAGTTCTGCTCAGCTCCGCCGTGCCTCTGTGCAGGGTTCGGCTCGGGAACCCCTGGCATCCCCGCACGCCACTCCGGAGCACTCTTCCGTTTCATCCAGCAGTGCATGTCCTGACTGGTCTCACCTGCTGAAGCTTAACAGGCAGATAGAGAATGGAGCCATCAAAAGCAGTGACATTTCCAGTGACAGCCTGGTGGTCCTTCAGCATGCCAAACCTCATACTTTTGCACTCCACATTAGGGCTAGGAAAAATTTTTAAAAAAAAGAGGATTTTACTTCCATTTGATTCAACAGCAATCTTTACTACAGCTACGCAACAGGCATGTTACCGAAGTACTCAATTGTAACTGCTGCCCCATCTAGTGGTCATATTTAAAAATTCAATAACTCCACCTGCAAGCTCCGGAATGCCACATGGGCTCCAGCTCATGTCCTGACTGCTCCACTTCCAATCCAGCTCTCTGCTAACGGCCTGGGAAAGCAGCAGAGGACGGCTCAGAACCTTTGGCCCTTGCACCTGTGTGGGAGACCTCGAAGAAGCTCCTGGCCCCAGACGGGCTCAGCTCTGGTCACTGTGGTCATTTGGAGAGCGAGCCAGTGGGTGAAGAGCTTTCCTTCTCTGTTTCTCCTTCTCTCTGTAATTCTGCCTTTCCAATAAAAATAAATCTTTTAAAAGGTTCTGCTTCTCATTAAAGCCTTGGCAAAAAATATTAGAATACAGGTTAAAAAAACTGCTTGAAGCAACTACCCTAACATGTCAATGTACATTCCTATAGTCTTTAGACCAGGGGATCTAGAAACTTTTACACAAAATGCCAGATAGCAAACATTTCACAAATATTCACAACACATGGCCCAACAGAAGCCATAGACAATATATGTGTGGCTATATGCCAAGAAAACTATCAGTAAAACGGGCAGTGGACCACGTCTGACCTTTGAACCAATCACAGTTTGTTAATCCTTGTTCTGGAATCTTGAGAGGTAACTGGCTTTTAAACAGAATGTTTTTGAAAAGCAGGATTACACTCATTTTTGACTCATGGCAGTTTCAACTTTTTTTCCAGTCACAAATCTCACAGCTTTGAAAAACTCCAACAGCTGTTTTACACACTGACTGCTCCAATATGTCAGAGTAAAGCTTGAACATCTGCAAACTGTTAAACAAATCCGTGACTACAAAGGGTGAAAAGTGCTCAACTTCATGAAGATTCAAAAAAAAAAAATCACTGGCAAACACTGCGTTGGAGGCATTAAGCTTCCACCTGCAGGGTCAACTTCTCACGTGGACGCCGGTTCAAATCCTAGCTGCTCCATTTCTGATGCCACTCCCTGCCCACGTGTCGGGGAAGCAGCAGAGGATGGCCTAAGAAGCTTCTGGCTGGTGACTTTATGTCACAGCAGCCCAGCTCGAGCCATTGAAGCCATCAGAGGAGGGAACTAGTAGGAGGAAAATCTCTTTCAAATAAATAAATCCTTAAAAACAAATACGTAAAACATTTCACACCAACACACTGCTGTGCTCCTCAGCCTCTCTCCACGCGTTGCAGGACGACACAGTGATGCCAATCTGTTCTCTCCGCGCCCGGGTCCACCCCAGGCTGCTGAGGTCCAGCCCACGGGCCACAGCCCTAAGTCCATGACAGGTCCCTGGCCGCTCAATGCCAAGGTGCCCAGGAGGCTCCTCTTCCTCCGTCTCCTAAAAACCTGTCAATCTGTTCTCAGGAAAAGGATTCTCCTCTCTTGGAAAAAAAAATGATCATGATGATGAATTATTTATTACAAAGGAAGACTTAAGAGTGGAGTTTGGGGAGTCAGAACTCTATCTGCTGGTTGCCTTCCCAAACACTCCTCTAAGAACCAGGCCTGGGCCAGGCTGAAGCCAGGAGCCAGAAGCTTCATCCAGGTCTCCAACGTAAGGGATCCCAAGCACTGGAGCCATCCTCTGCTGCTTTCCCAGGTACATCAGCAGGGAGACAGATCAGAAGTGGGGCAGCTGGCATCAAAACAGGTACCATCATGAGACAGCAGCACTGCAGACGAAAGCTTAGCACACTATGCCACAACTCAATCCTGTAATGTTCACCTCTCTTCTCTCCTTGCATGTGCCAGGTTCTCATACAGATGCTGGTTCGTGTCCCAGATGCTCCACTTCCCGTCCAGCCCCCTGCTTGTGGCCTGGGAAAGCAGTCAAGGATGGCCCAGGGCCTTGGGACCTTGTGCCCTCGGTGGGAGACCTGGAAGAGGCTCCTGGCTCCAGACCAGCTCAGCTCTGGTCGCTGTGGCCTCCTGGGGAGTGAACCAGCAGATGGAGGATCTTTGTTTCTCCTCTTTGTAAATCTTTCTAATAAAAAAATGTAAATCTTTTTTCAAGTTTATTTTGATGCAAAAATATGTAAAACTATAGATTCTTTAAAAAGATATTTATTATTATTGGAAAGTCTGATATACAGAGAGAAGGGACAGAGAGGAAGCTCTTCTGTCCGTTGATGCATTCCCCAAGTGGCTGCAACAGCTGGAGCTGAGCTGATCTGGAGCCAGGAGCTTCCTCCGGCTCTCCCAGGCAGGTGCAGGGTCCCAAGGCTTTGGGCCGTCCTCAACGGCTTTCCTAGGCCACAGGCAGGGAGCTGGATGGGAAGCGGAGCCGCCGAGATTAGGTTGAGATTAAATTCATGGCTAGCACCAAACATAAACCGGCACCCGTCCAACTGAGAGCTGGGGGCAGGCACTGTACAGCAGTCTGTTGCTTGGGACACTGGCATCGGATGATAGTCCAAGTTCAGGTCCCCACTAATACTTCCCATTCCAAAGTCCTACCAGTGTGCAGCTGTGAGGCAGCATGTGACGGCCCAGCTAACTGGGTCCCTGTCAAGTATGCGGAACATCTAAACTGAGTTCCAGGCTCTCGCAGAGGCCTGACCTTGCCCGGGCTATGGCAGGCATCTGAGGAGTGCAACCAGTGGATGAGGACCTGGCACTAGATGAAAGATTAATAACTTTCAAGGTCAAACTCTGAACTTGGGCTGTAAAGCTTCCACCTCCTGTGAGGTTCTGAGTGCATGCACCGCCACATGGGGAGGTCCCCAGGCGTCACACAGAACAGCACGCAGGGCAACGGTCTCAGGACTGCCAGCCAAGAAGCAAACACCACACAGAACACAGATGCTGTGGCTACCTGAAGGTCACGTGATACTGATACACTGCTTCATTATGACACTGGATCTTGATGAGGTTCAATCCCAGAGACTGAGGGGTTCCCTTTGATCCCTGCTTCACAAAAACCTCTCTGAAAAACAAAGGTTTGTTTAAAGCACCCACCTTACCCAAACAAAACGAAACAAAATCCACCAGTCCACACCATCACCAATTTTTCTTTTCATACTTTATAAACAAATTTAAGAACCAGGGCATAAATGTAAGCTCGGAAGGCCAGGTGGCAGACTGCAAGCGACGTCTGCCCTACCTGTGCCAGCAGCAGCACTGCAGGAACTAGGCTAGCTAAGAACCCAAGCAGGAGCTGTGCAGAATTACACTGGTTTTCATGGCTGTCTTCCCTACCCTCGACTTGGCAGAGAACCGACTTGGGCAGCAACGAAAGGTCTGCTTAGACTGCGAGGGAGCCCCTTCTCTGGTACGTGCCACATGCACACAACCAAACCTGCTCGCTCCATCAGACTTTGCATCACGCAATCCCGCAGCCAGCCCCCCGCAGACGCCTCTGGGGCTCCTTGTCGGATCGCAGCAGCAGAGGGCAGCAGCCCTGACTTACTTGTCCTTGTGTTCTGCAGTCAGGAGCAGAGGACCTTCTGGAGAATGCAGTGAAGACTGGGGCAGCGGGGGAGGTGGGGACAGCCGTGGGGGATTCCAGGAAGTGAGGCCAAAGGCGCTGGGGGGCTTGTCCAGGCCCCTGCTCATGCCACCAGCTGCTCTCCCCAGTGGGACTAGAGCAGCCTCCGAACTCCCTCTTCCAAGCATTCTGAAACGTCAGAGGAGCGAGTGAAGGTTTTCTCCAAGGTGTGTCTACCCGCGCCCCAGCCGCAGCATCCCCCACCACCCGAGGCTCCCGTCTCATCTGGAGGGGCCAAAGAGATGCAAGCACAGCCTTGGGGCTCCCTCAAAATCTACTAACACGCCAACATGGCTCATGCCTCAACTGCTCGCGACACTGACACTCCCAGCCATCTTAGGACAACAGAACAGAGGGGGAACAGAGTGGGACACATGGACCAGGCTGACGTGTGAGGAAGGCAAATGCCCACTAGGGAACCATTTTTACTCTTTCCCCATGACTGACCTGGCTCAACAATTGCTAACCACTCTGGGGAAAACACTTGTTAATATAAAAGCAGAAAATTCTCTCGTTGGGAGATAAGAGAACCCTCCTTGGAATTTCTCTACAGACTTGAGACATCCCAGCTAAATGTGATGATCACACAGGAAGGTAAGTGGACTCACCTATTCCAGCCGACAGAAGCTTCTGCCATCTTGCTATCACTGGCTGCCAACGTGGAAGGATCCGGCAAAGTGAGACCTGGTTCCTCTTTCTCCTTGCGTGGCACGTGGGCAGACAAGCCTCTCCCTAAAAGGCCTCTCCCTGAAGGGACCGAACCAAAGTGCACCGTGAGTTCAGCTCGAGCGTGCGGATCTCTCTGAGGACACACCAGACAGACTTGGGAACAAAACAAGCATGCAACCCAGCACCACGTCTCAAGGTTGGCACTCCACATACCTGACGGAGGCATTTCCCGTTTCACAGACGTCCGGGACGCCACGTCAAGGCCCAGGCCTCGGAACATGGAGACCAGACCCACAGCCTCCTGTGAACAAAATAAAGTTCTTCCAAGACGTTGCTTAAAACCCCGTGGGTCAGAAATGTGGCCTAGCAGTTGCCAGACCTACATCCCATATCAAAGTTGAGTACTTGCCTCCAGCTAACGCAGCCCCCGAGAGGCCGTGGTGATGGCGCACGTAACTGGAGCCCCGCTCCTCGGATGGGAGCGCGAGACTCAGTTCCCGGCTCCTAGCTTCCACCCAGAGCAGCCCAGTCCAGTTCAGGCTACGCTGAGTGAGTGAACCAAAGAGAAGGGACCCCTTTCTTTATCAAAACCAGAAATGACAGCCTTCTAAAAGTCTTGGTAAGAATCGTAAAATTCTAGAGGTGCTAAAGAGAATCAAGATGGCAAAATAGAGTAAGGACACATTTAAACAGACAGAGAAATATTAGCCAGCGTGAAGCAGAGAGGGCGCACTCCAGGAACTGGAAGAGGACAGCACAGCAGAGGGGTACCTGGAGACGGACAGACACAGGCAAGCAGCAGATACGATGGTGTGGTGTTGCAGTGACTGATAGACCAGCAGTGATCGGCACCCCAGCAGCAGCAGGAACTCTACCAGCAAAAAGGTGGGAAGGCACATTTACTGGGAGCTCCAGAGGTGAACCCAGACAAAGAATGTCCGTCCTGCTGGTCTGTTTCCTTTGACCAGAAGCAGAGACAGAGCGGCAGGTCCGAGACGGGCAGTGCAGGAACATGGTGGATTTCATAGCCCAGTCCGCCTCCTAGAGAAGTGTCAGATGCCATTTTGTTTAAGGAGGTGAGGGCTATGGGGCAGGACTGCACATACATGGAGCTGGGAGTGAACTCATTTCTGACTGAGTGAACTGCAACAACGCGGCATCCTACAGGTTCCACCCAAGACAGGTCCCGGTAGCTCTCAGACCTGATGGCCAGCAGATAAAGAATTCTAGTAGTGGCACATCAGGCGCAATTTTGTACAATGTGGGAAAGAATTTAAGACTGCAGGAGACAACGGTAACCTGTGCCTGTGCTGAGCTCGGGAGAATTCCCTGAGCTCAGTGGATTGCACTGGTCCCAGAGGAAAATAATACCGACCATGGCACTGTACGGGTCAAAATAGGTATGTGTGGCTCTCAGACCTAATGGCCAACAGGTTCTGGCAAGGTCAGCACCAACAACAACCTAGCTATATAAGACACCTGCTGTCTCCCTAATCCTGGGACCTGCTCCAACTGAGAGTGGGAGAAAGGTTGTACAGAAAACGGTGCAGCTTCAGCACAGTATCATAGGAGGTGCAGACAGGCGAGGCAGGAGCTGGGGCTAAGAAGACCATGGTGGAAATCTAACATACGAACCCAGACCTGGAACTCGCTGGAGGGAGTGGCACAAGTGACTGCAAACAAAGAGCCACGTACCAACTACAATAAGTAAAAATCAAACTGTAGACCTGTGGGTGACACAGCTTAGAAACCTGCCTCAAGGAGAAGAATCCGATAACCAGAAGTACAATGACCAAGAGCAAAAGAAGAGACAAAGGCACAATGAATATGATAGAAGGCTCCCCTGCAAAGGAGCAAAACCCTTTGCCAACCTCACAGTTAACTGAGAGACATCAAGAAAATGGGGGATACAGAATTCAAAACACTTGCTATAAAACTTGTCAACAATGAGAAGCACGTAAAGCAGGCATTCAAGGAATTTCACAATGGAAATGCAAGGAGTTAATTCAATACATGCATACCATGTATAAAGAACAAATTGATTAGCATTTTCATTTCCTCAAGGAGTTCCCATCTGTGTGTTGCAACTGTGACGCCTCCAGTTATTTTACAATACAGCATCAACTGCTGTTGACCTCTGCCACCCTACTGCAGCACCCAACACTTCTACCAATTCCCCCCACCTCTCGGAAGGTTGTATCAATAGAATTATCACGAATACACGCCACGTATTCGTTCACACAGCAGCAGCAACAGCTGAGGAACTTTTGTCTTTGAGGTTTGGATAGGGGCCAGCATTGTGGCCTGGCAAGTTAAGCCACTGTCTGCCAACACCAGCATTCCATGAGGGTGCCAGTTCAAGTCCTAGTTCTTCTGCTTCCAATGCAGCTCCCCGATGACATACCCAGGAAAGCATGGGAAGATGGCCCAGGTGCTCGGGTCCCTACACCCACGTGGGACACACCATGGACAATCACAGCTGTTGCAGCCATTTGAAGAGTAAACACACAGAACCAAGACCTCATTCTGTCTCTTGCTTCCCTCTGTGACATTGTGCCTTTGAAATAAAGCTTAAGGGGGAAAAAAAAAACCCACACATTTAAAAGGATAAAGATTTCAAAATATTGATTGATTTGAAAGAGTTACAGAAATAGAGGGAGAGACAGAGAGCTCTCCATCTACTGGTTCACTCTCCAAATGGCCACAACGGCCAGGAATGGGCAACCCGAAGCCAGGAGCCAGGAGCTTCTTCCAGATCTCCCGTGTGGATCCAGCTCCCTGCTAATGTGCCTGACAAAGCAGTGGAGAATGGTCTCTGAGTGCTTGGGCCCTTGCACCAGATGAAGCTCCAGGCTCCCGGCTTCAGATAGGCCCATCTCCAACCACTATGCCCACTTGGGGAATAAACCAGTGGTGGTAGATTTCTGTTCCTCTTTCTAACCCTGTCTTTTAAACAGATAAATCTTACAAGAAAGAGACTGGAGCTGGTGCTGTGGTACAGCATGTAAAGCCACCAGCTGCCATGCTGGCATCCCATGTGGGCACTGGTTCAAGTCTCCACCTACTCTACTTCCAATTCTGCTCTCTGTTGATATGGTGGGGAAAGCAGCTGAAGACGGCCCATGTACTTGGGCCGCTGTACACAAGTGGAAACAGGGGCTGCTCCTTGGAGCTGGTGTCATGGCTCAGACTAATTCTCCACCTTTTACTGCCAGCATCCCATACGGGCACCGGTTCGTGTCCCGTCTGTTCCATTTTATATCCAGCTCCCTGCCTGTGGCCTGGGACAGCAGCAGAAGGTGCCAAAACACCTTGGTATGTCTCACCCATGTAGCAAACCCAGAAGAGGCTCACGGCTCGAGGTCCCTGGCTCATAATCACCTCAGCTGCTCTGGCCTTTGCAGCCATCTGAGGAGTGAACAAGCAGATGGAAGATCTTTTTCTGTCTCCCCTCCTCTCTCTAAATTTGGCTTTCAGGTAAAAATAAATACTAAAAAAAATTCCTGGCTTCCACCTGACCAAGTTTTAGCCACTGGTACCATCCGAAGAATGAATAGCAGATGCAAGATGTCTACTTCTCTTTAACTCTCCCTTTCCAATAAATAAACCCTTAAAAACAAAATACAGACATATTTAAGAGAAATAATGTATACAATTACCTTTAAGACTATAAGGTACATTTATGTGAAACATAAATGAATTTTGCGTTTAGCATTGGGTCCCTATCCAGGTATCTCACTATGGATATGAAAGTATTTCAAAAGCAAAAACAAAAAAATCTGAAATCCAAAACAAATAAGGAATACTCAATCTGTAATAATCTCAGAGGCAGGAGTGCAACTCAGAGAGAGAACAGAAAAGCTGAGGAAGGAGCAAGAGGTTATTTCTATAGAAGCACCCTTAACGGAAGCTAGAGGGCTGACATTTCTCCTGGTCCACTTAGCATTCATTACGAGCCACTTTCTTAAGCCTAGCAATTCAAGGATTTCAATTATAGGCCCAGCCGGTGCAAAAATTTGTTGAAGAACAAAGGAAAAAAAAAAAAAAAAACCTCCTTCTCAGATAAAATGTGGCAATTTTCCCAGCACTCTGAGACCCATTACTTCTTCTCGTCCAGGTAAGCTGGACCGGAAGACCATTACACTTTCTGAATCTTACCTTCTGTGGTGGCCCAGCCTGCGTGCTGGGTTCCTCTGGCTTGCCAAACATGTGACCGCGCCCTAGAGGTCCTGCCCTGCCCAGGCTGGGGTCCAGAGGTTTCGCAGCTGATGGCCAAGAGCTTGGCATCCGCACACATTGAGATGGGTGGACAGGAGCAGGGCCCCTGAACGGTGGCCGAACAGGATCCATAGGCAGGCTCGCAGAGGACGCGGGGTGCAGCCTGTTCCAATGAGCCAATGACCTGCCGGCAGTGTAAACAGGTTTAAAGGGTCCCAGCTGTTCTCCTCCCTCTTCTGGCAACACAGGCTCCTTTACAAGTGTCAGACTCTTGTAACGTTTTCATTTCAACAGCTCCCGGTCCTTGAAAACACCCTCTACTGGCAATCCCTTAAGAGGCCCAAGCCTGTCTTGAGTTGAATACCTTCCACCCAACAACCCTCAAAAAACTCAAGCTCAGTAAGTCAACCATCTTCTGTGTCAGTGGAAGAAAGCAGTTGGGATGTAACAGGAACGATCTAGGCTGACATATTTTACCATTCACGATTATTCAGTTCATAATTATTGCCAACAAACTGTCCTAGCCTGGTATTTTGCTTTCCATCTCTATCCCCAGGGTCCTTTATCTTATTTTTTCAGAACTATAATCACATTCAATGCATCGCCTTGATCTCATGAGTTACTTCATTCTTTATCTAGTTCATTTTCAGAAAACTCTTCTTTCAATCCCTTCCACCAGGGAGGGGTCCCCTCCGCGAACACTGAAGCCCAGCAGGCCTTCAGTATCACTTCTTCATCGCCTACAGCTGGCTTTAAGCGGCTCCTTCTGCGCTCAAAACAATCTCTTAGTAAGTGGAAAACAATCCTTTCCCAACTTAGGGGGAGAAAACAAAAAACCCACAAAATTCGTCTTAAGTATCAGCTGCCGATAAATTAGGCCACGCCTATACAAAGACTGATTAACACAATTTATAAGTCCATAGGGCAGGTGGAAATAATCCATCATCCTGGGAAAAAAAATCATCTTTCTATACTCAACAGCTATCGGAACTGTCAGAGGCAGCACAGGTCTCCCTCTCCTGCTCAAATCCCTTTTTCAGTTAAGCCTGGGATCTTCCTTCATGCCTCCTTGCAAGAATCCCGAGGGAGCCAATTACACCGTACTCAGTGGGCCGACTTCACTCAGGATGTGGAAAGGCCTCTTCCTGAACCCTGCCCCGCCTGCCGTCCCCACTCGTGGGGTTTCAAGCACCTCTTTTCATCCGGGGGGGAGGAAGGGCCGCCAGGACAGGCTGGGCCTAGCCTCTCTCGGCCTGTCGGTGGGCTCTGGGCTGGCCTCGCTCACGCTCAATAAACCAGGCTGGAACCTTCTGTCTCCCCACTCCCACCCCCATGGCCAACCCCCAAACACAGCGACTAGGTAGGGTCCTGCCCACTCCAGGTCACTACCTAGCAAGATCCCTCCCTGCTGGGCCACAGCCCTCCTCGCGCCCCCACCCCGGCCCCCGTGGGCCCGTCCACGCTCCCCCACGCACAGGCGGCCTCGAGTAAGTAACGTCTTCCCGGCCGCGGCGTCCCCACCCCCCTCCGGGCCTCGCAGCCCGCCACCAGCCTCCCGAGGGGGACAAGGGCGCCACGGTCACGGTCACGGCCTCGGGCTCGGGCCCAGCCTGCACACGAGCGACCTCAGCCCTCCTGGCCTTCCACACCTGGGCTGAGTTCTGTCGCCTTGGCCGGCGTCCACAGAGCCTCACGAGAACCGGGAGCGCACAACCACCCGCCACGCGGAACAATTGCACAGGCCTCTCACCCGGTTTTTCATTTCCGGTCATGGGGGCGCGGAGGGGAGGGCTGTGAGGGGTGCTTGAGCCCATAGGCCAAAGCAACTGCCACACACACTCGACCCAGCCATTTCATTGGCTGGTTTGCGGGAGGGACTCGCCCCTTTTCAACAGGGTGGGCTGAGTACGTGAGCAAGGGGAAGCCGGGAGGTGTGAGTCGACAGGTGTTCGCTGTTGCGAGGACGCGGCCTTTGAACACGTTTGGCTTCCACGTTCATATTGACCATGACTTGGGGCCGACCCTGTCCGTTAGAGGAATTGGGAATTAAAGGTGCTCAAGTGGAGTTCAAACACATAATGATGTGATGGGACTCCTGGGTTTGGCTTGTGTGTAAAATAGGATTCAGGGCCCTAGGCTTGTTTGCAAAAGTACATGCGTTAATGAGGACCAAGTGACAACCCCCTAGAGATGCTGCCTAAATCTGTGAGCCAAAAGCTACATCATTAGCTAGGCCTGCAGCCACACAAGATGGCTCCCCGAAGATTCCTCCCTGCATCTCAACCATTTCTCAAATAAGAACACCCAGGCTTTACAGGATGATTTAGGGTCACACTTAAGGCTTTTAACTGCTGCTGTACCCACATCCAAAAAGAAGCCAGCCTTGGGACACCCCTTGTCAGACCCAAGTCCCAAGTGGGAATGCAGGTTCGAATCTCAGCACGTCTGTCTGATCCAGCTCCCTGCCAAGTGCACCAAGGAAAGTGGTGGAAGACCGACCAAGTGCTTGGGTCCCTGCTGCCCACATAGGAGACCAGGACAGAGTTCCCTGGGCTGGCCCAGACCCCACTGTTGTGTCCATTTAGGGGACTACTGGTGGGTATAAGATCTCTCTTTTTTACTCTTACTCTGCCTTTCAAAATAAATCTTAAGGGAAAAAGGATGTCCCTACACTCTTTGTAGACTATGTTGAACACAGTGAGGCAGGGGATAGCCAAGGGTTAACAAGAGAAGCTGAGAAAGGCAAATTCCAAAATTCTTTTCCTAGTCTCTCTCTGCCTCTCTTATCCACAACCTTGAGGTGGAAGTCGAAAATAGAGCTAATTGGGCAAGCTGAGAGAAAAAGAAATTGCAAACTTCCAAAACCTTCATTTACAAGCCATGTGTAGATAGAACAGCCAGCCACAAGGCATATACCACGTGGCTTCCAAGCCACAGAAAGTCAGTGGGTGAAAACTCCACCTGCAATGCCAGTATCCCTTTGGATGCCAGTCCAAGACCTGGCTGCTCCACCTCCAATACAGCCTTGGATAATGTTACTGGGAAAGCAGCAGCAGATGACCCGACGCCTTGGGCCCCTGCATCCACATGGGAGACCCGGAGGAGGATGCTGGTCCCTGGCATCAGACCAGCTCAGCTCCAGCTGTTAATGTCCATCCGAGAATGAGCCACTGGATGGCAGATCTGTGTCTTCTCCTCTCTATAATTCTGCCTTTCGAATAAAAAAAAAGAACTTGAGTAATAACACTGAGGATCATGTCATTCATCTTGATGAAGGAGGAGGAGAGGGAAAGGGGAGGAGACAAAGTTGCAGGAGGAGGGGGAGGAAGAGGAGGGGGAGCAGGAAGGAGAAACACTCCCCAATTTTACTACTAGGAACATGAAGGAGGTGAAGAAATCTCCAAAACAGTTGGCTGGCTTCAACAACGGAACAGCTGGAAAAGCTGTGAAAAGGCCAGGCAAAGCATGTCGTGTAATCGGCCTCACGCAGGGCGTTGCACATCCCTTTCCAAACGCCTGCTGCGGTAAAAACAACAACAGAAAAAAACACTCCTTCTGGTGGGAGCTACATTCTCTGCAAGCTGCCTGCCTGGAAAATTATCACAGGACATTTCTGGTTCATTCCAGAGAACCTGAATCTCTCTCTCTCTTTTAAAAAGCTTATTTTTATTAGAAAGATTTACAGAAAGGAGAGAGAGATCTTCCATCTGTTGGTTCACTCTCCAAATGGCCGCAATGGCTGGGGCTAGCCAGGCCAAAACCAGGAGCCAAAAGCTTTTTCCAGGTCTCCCACATGAGTGCAGGGCCCTAAGGACTTGAGCCATCCTCTGCTGCTTTCCCAGTCCATAAGTAGAGAGCTGGATTAGAAGTGGAGCAGTCAGGAATTGAACTGGTGCCCGTATGGGATGATGGCACCACAGGTGGTGGCTTAACTTATTATCCCATGGCGCCATCCCTGAGAATCTTATTCTTCACAGACAATACATCCATCATCAAAAATAGTTCTGAGTTCTCTCCAAGATTTCTCAGAACCACCAAATGATAACTGCCCAGCAGGAACTTAGCTTTAACTTTCTAGAGAAAGAGAAACATGGCAGGGTTGGCATTGTGGCATAGTCGGTTAAGCTTCCACCTGTGGCACTGGCATCCTCTGTAAGTGCTGGTTTGAGTCCTGGCTGCTCCAGTTTAGATCCAGCTCCCTGCGAATGTGCCGGGGAAAGCACCGGAGGATGGTCCAAACACTAAGGCCCCTGTCACTCAGATGGGGGATCCAAATAGGGGTCCAGACTCCTGATTTTGGCCTGGCCTGCTCCCAGCTGTTACAGCCAAGTTCAAGAAATACCCTCCTTCTCTTTCTCTCTCTGTACTCTGACTTTCAAATGAGTCAAACAAATCTTAAGAAAAATAAAAAGATACACGCAAGTATTCGAGATGTATAAACAGAGAACATGAGGCTGTACAGAACTAGAGCTTTTATTATGGCAGCATGGCAGCCATCATCTCGAAGGATGGCGTGTCAAGACAAAGAAAGTGAGAATTTTTATACTTTTACAAAGTCACAGTGCAAGGGATGGGAAAGCAAGTAGTTGGTGGTTTGTTTTGCACCAAAACAAACTCATCTTTTAATTCCAGGCTCCCCTAATTGTCAGAGCTCACTCGTATAAATAGGCTTACTTAGCAAGCATGGCGTTATTTTGATTAGCTTCCGCCTCTGCCTAACAGCTTATGGGAAGCAGACAATCCATCCTGCTTGGACGCTGTGTGGACTCGTTGCTCTAGTAATAGGTAATAGTCGGCTTAAATTGGCTCCAAGCAGTTATAAAACCGTTGTGGACAGAACAATCATTCAAAACAGAAATCTCCAAATGATGGAAATACTCGGGTTGGGAAGCAACCGTAAGTGAACTGTGGGAACAGGAAAATCATCTCATGTTGGTTCCAGAATAGCCTGACAAAATCTATGGCCGAGGATGGAGCTGTGGGTTCATTGCAACTGCATGGAGGGATTTGCGGCTACTGAAGCGAGTCTGATCTTCAGAACATCCCTGGCCTAGATGATTGGGTCTCTCTTGGAAACGGCGAAGGAACAAAACATGGACTTTTTCTAAAATGGTTTCACGACAGTCTTCGAATGC